CTTTTGCGCATCTCCCTCACCTGTGGACATTCTCCTTGGTGGCCGAGCATCTACACAGGAATCAGCTGCTTGGCTGATGTCCGGGTGAGGCACACCGAACCCAGGCTGTAGACCTCCGCTCCGCCCCAGCACACCTACTACGCGCCTCCCGCGGCCCCGCCCCACTCCACCTCCCAGCTCCTCCGCCAATAAGCGCGCGGCACCGCATCCGGGGACCCGCGCGGCCGCCGCCTCCTGCGCGCACGCTCGGCCATGGCGGAGGTGAGTGAGCGGCTGGGTAGCGGCCCCTCCCACACGCTGCCCTGGCTCGACCTGCTCCAGCCGGTGCTCTCCCAGTCCGAGCGCCTCGAGCCTCCCTACTATTCCCGGGCGGAGCATGAGCCCCGTGGGCACCCGACGACCCCCCCACTCCATCTCGGCCACGGTGCGCATGCGCGGGCGGGGGGAGGGGCGCGAGGTGCGGGCGGCCGAGTGCGGGGCCGAGACCCGGGGCCGAGCGGCGGGAGGGCGCCGCGGACGAGGTGGGGGTGCGGTGCTGGCGTCTGCGACGGCGGCACGGGGACCGTATCCCGGCGCGCTGGGGATGAGCAGGGCGCGGAGTCGGCGGCGCTCTGCGAGCGGAAAGTTTCGCGCGTAGAGTTCGTCTGGCTGCGGGAGCGAGAGCGCGGGCCTCCCCGCTGGTGCGGGGCTGCAGTCTCAGCCCAGAGCTGACCTGCACCTCGGGGTGCGGCCGCTGAACTCCGGGTCCAGCCTCCATCGACGCGCTGCGAATCCGCCGCTCCGGTACTGGAACTCAACACCGTGCGCGAGAGGGGCAGCTTGGGCAGCAACAGGCCCGCGCGTGGGCCACGGGGCCGGGCTCTGGGGGCCCTGTTGGACAACTCTGGCTGGTTGACTCAGAGGGTGCTTAGGGGCTTAGTTCCTTCTTTAGGGGGCTTTTGGGGAAACAGACTTTCCGAAGACAAGACAGATCAACCGATACCCCTTTTAGGGCATGGTGGGCTGCTCTGCCCTGTGTGGCACGGGTGGTGGAGAGTCCTCAGTCTGTGCTTACTTGCTCTCCTGGAGTCTAGGATTTGGAAGAGGTCTGCCTCAGTTCGCTCATCTCAAGTGGGAACCTGATGGTACCTTCCCATAACTGAGAGGATGTTTTGCTGCATCTGTGTTTTGAACTCGTAAAAGTGGATATGGTTACCCAGAAGTCCTCAGTGTCAGCTACTTGATCGGTGTGTGTCTCAGTGGAGATGGAACCCAGAAACTGTCATCTCTTTGGGCTGGTGACTTGTCCCTGTCTTAGTCTAAGCCACACTTAAACTTCTCTGTGCCTATCCTTGGCAGTCCTCATGAGACTGTCCAGCCCCCGGGTTCCTTTGTAGTACTCCGAATTCCTATAGAGTTGCCTGTCAGTTTCCCACCTCATCTGGTCCCTAGGATGTGACCTCTGACCTCGCTGCCTAGCCCCCCACCTTGTTTCTTTTTCAATCCTTGGTTTAGCTCCCTTGTTGCCCCGTGTCCTAGCTCCACGTGGGTGGAGACGGGCTGAACCTGTCTCTCAGGCTGTCCTAGCTGGCACAGTGGTGGGGCGAGGCTGGGACCCCAGGGGCACGGGCCCTTGCCTGGGTGTGGATGTGGGCCATTTCTCTTGAGAATGCTCTTTAACTCCTCAGCATCCACTTGTTCTGACCTTTTATAATTCTTGGGGTTCACTTGGCCCTTTGTGGGTTGCAGTTTGTAGGTAACTGGACTTGGAGTTGATGCTGAGGCCTCTACCACTCTGGGGTGTGGGCTACAGCCCATTCCTGAGGTCTCTGTGTGGCTTGGGCTTTCTCACAGCGTGGAGTCTGTGCTTCAGAAGATGCTGGGGGAGAGCAGCTTCTAGAGGAATACCTTTCCTTCTTCCACAGTCGCAGCCGGGCTAGATCTAGTCCCCTAGTCTCCCTGCCTGGGAGGTGCCACCCGCACTGTGTCCTGGTTCCCAGCTAAGAAGGCAGGGTAGTGGTGTCCATGCCAGTCCACTTTGCATCCTCTGTTCTCAGACACCTTGCTGGGAAACCTGATTGCCTCTTGCTTCGGGATCAGCCTTTAGTCTGTTTGTCCTGTTGTCATCTGGATCATCTTAGGCTAGACCCTCCCCCGTCCCTTCCTCTTCACATAAAGATCTGGGGCTTTGCTGGCCTTTAAGTTTTTCCAACATGGGGAAATAGGGCCCTTTAAAGTGGCATTAAAGTGAAGTGCCTGGTTGTCTGGTGACCATGCTGGCTGGTATCTATGCCTTGGTCAGTCAGTCTTGGGCACCTTGAGGGTTACCTGGAGATGGACTTGGCCCAGTCGGCTGTGTCTCCCACTGTTTGCTCTCAGCTCCTTTCTTCCTGAGCCCTTTCTTGGGTCCATTCCACTGAGGACCCCTGACCCTGACCTGAAGCAGGAGGTTATTCACATTCTGTCTGGATAGTGAGGCTGTGGGACTGTTGCTAGTCTGTCATGCAACTGTGGTATCCCACCTCTTAGTTCGGGTTCCTGACAGCGGGGACAGAGAGCCAGTCCCTGGGCAGAGCCCACAGATACCCCTAGGGAGCTAGCTAGGACTGGGCATGGTTCCAAGGACACTGAGGCTTCCTCCCTGTCCTTCACATTGTTAGCCTGTGGGGCTGATTTGTACATGCTCCAAGATTTGGATGCCTTATTACACCAGGTACAGAGTGTGAGATGCCCCTGCGGCTGTCCCAGGTGGGCCCCTTATCATCAACTTTCTTAGCCTTCTGCCACTATGTGGGGGTTGCCCTCGAAAGGCCTGTTGGGTTGTGGTCACTCTTGACCTAGAACCTTGGGGGTTTCCTGGAACATCTTTCCAGGAGAATACAGCCCTGTGCCTCCCACCGCCCCCTTGCTGCATGGTACAGTACTCAGTGGAGGAGCCTGCCTGGCTGGGGGGCTTTTGAGGTTCTTTCTGGTGTTGCTTGAATAAGAAACTTGACCTCTCTGGGCTTTTTAGTCTTCTTGTTTTTCTTTTGGGGTGGATGAGTGCCTCACCTCTGACCTCTGAGGACCTAGTGCTACTGTGTTCTAAGTGTTAAACTTTAACTTTTGAAAATTACACACAGACAGACTGACACACACAGACAGACAGACAGACAGACACACACACACAGACAGACAGACAGACACACACACACAGACAGACAGACAGACACACACCTTTATTTTTGTGTATGAGTGTTTGCCAGAAGAGGGCGCAGAATCTCCTGAAACTGGAGTTAACATGTCTGTGAGCCTCTGTGCTGGGAGTTGAACTCAGAGCTCTTAACCACTGAGCCATCTCTCTGGCCTATATTCTTTCTTCTTTCTCTCCCTTGTTTTCGCAGCCGTTCTGCTGAGGTACACCCTGTGCTGTCTCTTTTAAGTGGGTAAAGTTCAGTGGCTTTCTGTATTTTTGGAGTTGTGTGACTGCCGGCACAGTCAGTTTGAGAGCATTTGGA